GTTGTATTTATTTTTCCTCAAAGTTTTTCACAAGTGCTCATTAAGTGCAGGCTGAGGTAGAGTTGATGTGTTACAGCAGGATTATACGAGACACTGTTCCAGTGCAGAATGAGGCCTGTGACGGCTGCAGCCCACTGACAGGATGGAGGACGTCACAGAGATGACAGCAGCAAATGATCCTTCACACAGAGGGACAACAGAGCAGAGGTGAAACCCTGATCTATCTATTCCTCTCCATTTTACTCTTGTCTTCATCCACAATCTGGGTCAGTGTGAGTGACACACATACATACAAACATACATACATAGTGCAGAGAATTGCAACACCCACTGCTGCTGTCAATCACACTTATTGGTTTGGCTCATAATAGCACCTGTCAATCCCCGTCTATCTCTCATGGGTGCTACAGTCTGTGTAAAGTAAGACACATTAGATGTAGATGTATTGAACCAACAAACTCAGATTCAGTGGGTCTGTAAATCCATGAGAGGAAAATCAGAGTTGATTTTCAATGATGCCGGATCTAACTCCGATCTAACAGCCAATGAGTCGAAGTCAGCCTTGAACCTTTCTAATTGACATAAAGGACGCCTGGATAAAATGACGTTTCATTCAAATGACACACAATTTCTTTTTTACAAGTTTAATCAGGGTTGGGAGGGTGTGAAGCTGACCGTTGAGCGGCCCGACCAAGCAAGGAGGCAGAGGCAGAGAATTCAAATATAACCCGGTGTGGGCATTTATTCATCGCTGTGGTACAGGATACACAGCCTCAATATTGCTGCCCAGGTGAACACAGTCACCAGCCACAAGGATCTCACCCACACTACCAGCCTCCACCAAACAGGAAACACAGAGCCTAAATACACACCCACTAATCAGCAATTAGACACAGGTGAGGGAGGAGCAATTAGACACAGGTGGGGGGGGGAGGAGACAACACAGGGCACCAGGTGAACATAATCAGGAGTAACTGAAAGAATGGGAGGGGGAACACTTTTCAAAATAAAAGACATGTGCAATATACAAAGCCCGAAGCAGTCAGTCCACAGTGACGAAGCCATCTTCGTCACATTTCCTCCTTCCTCTCCCGAAAGAGAACAGTACCTTATTCCTGCGACATCTTGGCCAATTTGCTCTCCTCCATGTGTCTCCACTCCGCCCGGTGTTTCTGCTTCCCCGTGTGCCGCATGGTTTCCTCAGAGGGGGGCGTGAAGTCGGAAGGAAGCTTCCCTTTCTTCCTCAACTCTTTCTCCCGCTCCTTCGCGATGGCCTCCGTCAGGTTCTCCACGTACGCCGCCTTCATCGTCTTCATCACCTGCTTCTCCACCAGAGTCTGAGCGGCTGACAGGGCCTCTGCATGAGCCTGAGCCCTTATCTCCTCCAGCTGTTGCTGCATGACGCGCTCTCTCTCCCGACGGATCCCCTCGGCTATTTTCACCCGCATCTCCTCCGCTAGAAAAGCAGCTTCCTCGTCTTTAAGTTTCTTCTCCTCCTGCAGGCGTATCAGACGAGCCTCCTCCGCTAAGCGCATCTCCTCTTCCTTTCTCAGCTTCTCCTCTTCAACCTGAGCTATTCTTCTTTCTCTTCTATCAGGGAAACCTGTTCCTGTATCCCTGAAAACGGCTGCTCCATGTTCCTCAAACGGCACTCCTCCCGCTTGAATCTGGCTGTCTCATACTGCAGGAATGACTTCATAATCTCCCTCAGTTCCTCCATCGTTTTCACCTCCTCACTTGGTCAATCCTACTTCTGACACCAAATGTGAAGCTGACCGTTGAGCGGCCCGACCAAGCAAGGAGGCAGAGAATTCAAATATAACCCGGTGTGGGCATTTATTCATCGCTGTGGTACAGGATACACAGCCTCAATATTGCTGCCCAGGTGAACACAGTCACCAGCCACAAGGATCTCACCCACACTACCAGCCTCCACCAAACAGGAAACACAGAGCCTAAATACACACCCACTAATCAGCAATTAGACACAGGTGAGGGAGGAGCAATTAGACACAGGTGGGGGGGGGGAGGAGACAACACAGGGCAACAGGTGAACATAATCAGGAGTAACAGAAAGAACGGGAGGGGGAACACTTTTCAAAATAAAAGACATGTGCAATATACAAAGCCCGAAGCCGTCAGTCCACAGTGACGAAGCCATCTTCGTCACAGAGGGTTACATCCCAACCCTAAGGGGCACACCCTGGACTTAATTGTATCAAAGAGTCTGAGCATCTCTAAGCTTGTGGTGACTGATGTAGCGCTCTCTGATCATTCCTGTGTTTTTTTGAGAGCTCTATTACTGTCCAAACAACTGTTAAGAAAGAGGTGACCACTAGACGTCACTTAACTGAAAATACAGAGGAAATGTTTGCTCAGATTTTTACTCCCTCAATTGCCCATGCTAACTTCTCAGTAAATGAGCTAGTTGATCATTTTAATTCTAAAATAACAAATGTCATGGATACCATCGCTCCCATTAAAACAAAGGAAGTATCTAGCAAGAAAAAATCTCCATGGAGAAAAGCCATGACTGTGAGAACAGCAAAAACTGAGTGCAGAAAAGCTGAACGCAGGTGGAGACAAACAAATCTCCAGGTTCACTTGGAAATATATAAAGAGAAACTCGGTTTCTATAATCAGGAAATAAAAAAGGCACGACAGTCTTTCTTTTCTGACATCATTACCAAAAATAAAAACAACTCGCGTGCCTTGTTTTCTACCGTCGACAGACTAACAAACCCCCCAGTGTCGATAGCCTCAGAATTTCTATCCACCAGGGCCTGCAATGAATTTGCCTCCTTCTTCACTGACAAAATCATGCAAATTAGACAGGCAGTCAGTGCCTCTGCATCAGGTACAGCCAATGTGTTGTCCCTGTGTTCACCTAAAGCCAATTCAGACACCATGTCACAATTCCGTCTGATAAATGCTAAAGACTAGTGATGGCGAGATGAAGCCTTATGAAGCTTTGAAGCTTTCCAGCCAATTGGTTCGCAAAAGGGTTCATCTCATGAGGCTTCATCATGGGCTTCATTTGAACACAAACCCCCCTGTTGGTCAAAGTGTGTAAAATAGGCAGATTGGACATCTCAACAGTGTGCTCTATCTCATACCGAGTTTCCAATGAGTAAAGCCTTAGAATAACTCGAAACAACGAACATTAAATCATATTTTCATGTCAACAATATTGTTTTTATTCCAGTTGAATGATTGTGATTGAAAAGCCTAAGGAGGCTGGTAAACATTGCAAAGAGGTATTTGTATTCCTTCATAAATGTAACCATGTTGTAGCCTGAGAAAGGCTAAACCATATCAAAGAATACATTTATTAACTACATTATCTCATTTAGCTGTAGCTTTTATAAACAAAAAAAAAAATGTAGCCCTATTGACCAGTTGTTGAACCAGGGACCCTGCGGTCGTGAGTCAACTGCTTTCCATGAGCCCCACACTGAATCTCCCTGAAAACACTGCACGATATTTATTCCTGTATTTATTCATTTATTTATGCTTGTATCTATTTATACTTATGAGTATGACATGTTCCGACCTCTATATAAGTGAGGGTCTGAGCTCTCTTAATTCCATCGTGTCACCAGGCCCGGGTACAGGAGGGGTAATAATATGGTTCTTCTTATTATACATCCATGGGTATGAGCGTTGTGGTTCAACGGTTCAATCTGAATCGCTTCCTGAAGCAGTCTCGTGGTATCGACAGGCAGCGAGGCTTCGTTTGTCATCGATAACGTCACTGGCCCAAAACGATACAAGCCTCGATACATGCTTCACAAAAAGCTTCGGGGATTACTCGACACACGCTCCGAAGCCTAGGTGTAATACGTAACATCACTACTAAAGACATGGAAGACATTATTCAACATCTGAAATCCTCCTCCTGTAGCCTCGATATTATTCCGACAGGATTTTTCAAAACTGTTTTTCCCTGCATGGCCTCAGATATAACACATAGTAAACAACTCTCTTCAATCAGGTGTATTTCCACAGGCCCTGAAAACTACAGTAATTAAACCGCTCCTAAAAAAGCATAACTTAGACACAACCGTAATGAATAATTACAGGCCAATATCAAACCTTCCTTTTTTAAGCAAATTGATTGAAAAAGTTGTTTTTTAACAGTTGAGTAATTTCAAGTTTTTAAATGACGGTTTTGATGTGTTTCAGTCGGGCTTTAGACCTAACCACAGCACTGAAACTGCACTTGTAAAGGTCTTAAATGACATTCATTTAAACACAGACAGTGGCAGAATATCAGTTTTAGTATTATTAGATCTCAGCGCTGCCTTTGATACTGTTGCCCACAACATATTGCTAGACCGTCTAGAAAACTGGGTGGGAGTTTCAGCAACAGCTCTAAACTGGTTTAGTACCTACTTAAAGGACAGAAAAAACAATGTCTCAATAGGCAACTACTGTACACATCAACTTTGCGGGGTTCCGCAAGGCTCCATCTTAGGACCTTTGCTTTTTAATATTTATATGCTACCTCCGGCTGAAATGATTAAAAAGAGCGATCTAAGCAGACGACACCCAGATTTATTTTAAAATCACACCAGGAGACTATTCTCCGATTAGAACACATTGAGCACATCACTGACTGGATGACTCAGAACTGTGGTGGTTGTATTCTCCAGCCACCTCCCTTGTGTGTGTTTTCCCTCCCCCTGTCTGTGTGGGCGTCAGTTGGGCACCCTCCTCTGCTACACACCTGATTTCCATCAGCCATTTACTAATGGCATATCAGCGGAGGCACCACAACTTGTCAGCGCCAGATCGTTGTTTAAACCCCAGTGGTAAAACTCTCAGCCTTCTCAGCCTTCTTAGCATTAGTTAGCTATTTCCTCTACACCTGAATGTTCTTCTTACCTGTTCTTCTTGTGCTCCAGGATCACTCTCCAGCCGGATTACTCTCCACGCTCCTCAGCGCCGGTGACCCAGCGGACACCGGCTACCAGTCCAAGACTGCGGACAAACTCTGCCAAGCCCTGGCCAATCAAGGCGCTCTCGTGGGGCATCACGATACAGTTCTCCGTGAGGCAGTGGAGACTCTCCGGAACCTCTCCGCTAATGTGCAAAGGATCGGCACCCAGGTAGAACTGCTCACCTCACAGTCTTCTCCCCCGCAGCCCGCTGCACAGCCGACAGCCCCTCCCCCCCTCCTGCCGCACCCCTCCATCAGCTACGAGAGGCTGTCATTCCCACACCGGAGCGATACGCTGGAGATTTGGATATTTGTAGAGCCTTTTTATTCCAGTGTACGTTAGTTTTTGAGCAGCAGCCTAGTACTTATCACACAGATGGGGCTAGGGTAGCATATGTAATGAGTCTGTTGAGGGGGAGGGCTTTAGATTGGGCTACAGCTGTTAGGGAGAGCCAGCCACACATTTGCTGGTCATATGATACTTTCATTTCCGAAATGATTTTTTTTTTTGTATCACCCGGTACGGGGGAGGGACGCTTCCAGACGCCTTCCTTCTCTCCGGCAGGGCTCCCTGTGGTGGTTGCATTCTCCAGCCACCTTCCTTGTGTGTGTGTTTTCCCTTTCCCTGTCTGTGTGGGCGTGGTGCCTGTCACTCCTGGCTCCCGGCTCAAATCTCCACCAGCTGCAAACAGTTGAGCACTCTCCTCTGCGACACACCTGATTCCCATCAGCCATTACGGATGGTATATCAGCGGAGGCTCCACAACCTGTCAGCGCCAGATCGTTGTTAAACCCCAGTGGTAAAACTCTTAGCCTTCTCAGCCTTCTTAAAGTATAGTGACTATTTTCGCTACACCTGAATATATTCTTACCTGTTCTTCTTTTGCTCCAGGATTACGCTTCAGTGAATTACGTTCCAGTGGATTAAAACTCCGGAGGATACTCTTCAATGGATTACGCTCCAGTGGATACTCTCCAGCCGGATTATCTCCTCCAAATAAAACCTTTGTAACACACTGCCGTGTCCTGCGTTTGGGTTCTCTCAGATAACCGTAACACTCCCGTAGTGTAGCCGAATTTTCAGTTGAGTTTAGAACAGTTGCTTCCGACTCACGCTGGAATAACGAGTCATTGCAGGATGTTTTTCTTCAGGGGCTGAACGAAGCAATTAACGATGAGCTAGCTGCTAAGGATGATCCAGTTAGCTTGGATAATTTAATTGCCACAGCCATCAAGATTGATAATCGCCTCAGAGAGAGACGTAGGGATAGGAATAGCCGTTACTCCAATCCCAGCGACTCCTCACTTGATCCCCAAATTGGCACTGCCACTACCCCTATCTCCAGATATTTCCCGACTCCTTACTCGGTCTCATCCCCTGGAGATGAGCCCATGCAAGTGGGAAGGGCCCGCCTCTCACCATCTGAGCGTGCTAGAAGGATCCAGGCTGGGGAATGTGTTTATTGCAGCCAAACCAGTCATCTTGTTTCCTCCTGTCCTAATCTGCCAAAAGGTCAGGCTCGTCAGTAGCTGTGGGGATTCTGGCGAGCCCTTCTCTCTCTCTCAACCCCCGACCCAGAACACAGCTTGAAGCCGTGCTTTGCTGCGACCAACAGTCCCTACCCCTGCTCGCCTTAGTGGACTCGGGGGCGGATGAGAACTTTTTGGACATTGACATTGCAGCTCAGGCAGGAATTTCCTGCGAAGTGTTAGATTCACCTCTTAGTGCTAATGCTCTAAATGGAAAATGCCTGGCCCAAGTCACTCACCGCACCAAGCCAGTAAACCTAATTCTGTCTGGAAACCATCGTGAGTTTATTCAGTTTCACCTAATTTCCTCACCTCATGCCCCCATAGTGTTGGGCCATCCCTGGTTAAGAACACACAACCCCCAGATTGATTGGGTAACTGGCAAAATCATTAGTTGGAGTTTTTTTTGCTTATCCTCATGCCTGCAGTCTGCCCTACCACCAGCAGAGGCCGCCTCTACACCACCCAAGATCGAGCCGCCTGACCTGTCATCTGTTCCCACTGAATATCATAACCTAGGAGAGTTGTTCAGTAAACAGCGAGCTCTTTCTCTTCCTCCTCATCGACCCTACGACTGTCCCATTGACCTCCTTCCCGGGGCCCCTCTGCCTTCCTCACGTCTGTTCAACCTGTCTCGCCCTGAGAGAAAATCCATGGAGAGTTACATCCATGACTCCCTGGCTGCCGGTGTCATTCGGCCATCCTCCTCCCCGGTCGGTGCTGGTTTTTTCTTCGTCTCCAAGAAGGACCGCTCACTGCGGCCCTGCATTGATTACAGGGGTCTCAATGCCATCACTGTAAAGAACAAATATCCACTACCCCTCATTAACTCCGCCTTTGAACCCCTCCAGGAAGCCACCATTTTTTCCAAACTGGACCTCCGCAATGCCTACCAACTCGTCAGAATCCGAGAAGGGGACGAGTGGAAGACGGCCTTTAACACACCACTCGGTCACTTCGAGTATCTGGTGATGCCTTTTGGACTGACGAATGCCCCAGCAGTCTTTCAGTCGATGGTGAACGATGTGCTCCGTGACCTCCTCAACCGGTCAGTCTTTGTCTACTTGGATGACATCCTCATATTCTCTCCACAAGGAGGAGCACATTATCAATGTCAGGCAGGTGCTGCAGAGACTCCTGGAAAACAGACTCTTTGTGAAGGCGGAAAAATGCGAATTCCATGTCAACACAGTCTCATTCCTGGGCTACATCATTGAGGAAGGAAAGCTTAGGACCAACCCTGAGAAGATCCAAGCGGTGGCGGGGTGGCCCAAACCAACCTCAATTAAACAGCTTCAACAGTTTCTTGGTTTCGCCAATTTCTATCGGCGCTTCATCAGGGACAACAGCAGAGTGGCGGGTCCTTTAACCAGACTCACTTCCCCTACAACTGTTTTTTCCTGGACCCCAGAGTGCGATGCAGCCTTTTCAGAGCTAAAGAGACTCTTCACTACTGCCCCTGTGCTCATCCACCCTGATTCCTCTCGCCAGTTAATTGTGGAGGTCGATGCCTCCAACACCGGGGTAGGGGCAGTTCTTTCCCAGCGCTCGGAACGAGACCAAAAATTGCATCCTTGTGCATTTTTCTCTCGCCGCCTCACCCCAGCTGAGAAGAACTATGACATGGGTAACAGAGAGCTGCTGGCTGTCAAACTTGCCCTAGAGGAGTGGAGGCACTGGCTGGAGGGAGCTGAACTCCCTTTTATTGTATGGACGGACCACAAGAACCTGGTGTACATCCAATCTGCCAAGCGCCTTAACTCCCGTCAGGCTCGATGGGCCCTGTATTTCGGCCGCTTCTCATTCACCCTCACCTACCGTCCAGGGTCACGGAACCTCAAGCCTGACGCTCTCTCTCGCCAGTTCGCTTCCGAAGGACCAGCTGCCAGTCCAGACACTATCCTGCCTGCCTCCTGCGTGGTGGCGGCTGTTACCTGGGAGATTGAGTCATTGGTCAGGGAGGCTCAGCGGGCGCAGCCTAACCCAGGTAACTGCCCAGCTAATAGTCTTTTTGTGCCTACCCCTGTTCGCTCCAAGGTCCTGCAGTGGGCACACGCCTTCCGTCTCTCATGTCATCCTGGTGTCCATCGCACACTGTTTATTCTCAGACAACGGTTCTGGTGGCCTTCCATGGCTCAAGACACCAGGGCCTTTGTTGCTGCCTGTACAGTATGTGCCCGCGCCAAGTCCTCCCACCAGTCTCCCTCTGGCCTGCTTCGCCCGCTGCCGGTACCTAGTCGCCCTTGGTCGCATGTGGCATTGGATTTTGTTTCTGGACTTCCACTTTCACAAGGAAATACCATCATCCTAACTATTGTGGACAGATTTTCAAAGATGGTACATTTTGTGGCTCTTTCCAAGCTTCCCACTGCCCGAGAGACTGCAGATCTTCTGGTCAACCATGTAGTTCGACTTCATGGGATCCCCACCGACATCGTCTCTGACCGGGGTCCCCAGATAATTTCCCACGTTTGGAAGGCCTTCTGTCAGGCTCTGGGAGCATCGGTGAGCCTGTCATCTGGCTATCATCCTCAGACGAACGGGCAAACGGAACGGGCCAACCAGGATCTGGGGGCGGCCCTTCGTTGTGTGGCTTTCAGGAACCCTTCGTCATGGTGCCCACATCTGCCATGGATCGAATATGCCCACAACACCCTGTCAAATGCAGCCACAGGTATTTCACCCTTTCATTGTGCCATGGGTTTCCAACCACCTCTGTTTCCAGCCCAGGAAGAGGAAGTTGCTGTTCCCTCCGTTCAGACCCACCTTCGTTGCTGTTGTAAGGTGTGGAGGGACACCCGAGCCGCCCTGCTCCGCTCCGCTGCCCGCAACCGCCTCATCGCAGACCGCCACAGGACCCCGGCCCCCAACTACTTACCAGGTCAGAGTGTTTGGCTTTCTTCCAAAGATCTCCCACTCAAGACAGAGTCGAAGAAACTCACTCCACGGTATGTCGGCCCCTTCATCATCGACTCTATTATCAATCCATCTGCAGTCAAGCTCAAGCTTCCCTCACACATGAAGGTTCATCCGACATTTCATGTCTCTCTGTTGAAACCTGTTGCCAGCAGTCCTTTGTCTCCTCCAGTGAGTGTTCCCCCACCCCCCGCATCATCAATAATCACCCAATCTACACCGTCAGGCGATTGTTGGACGTTCGTCGCCGTGGAAGGGGATTCCAATATCTTGTGGATTGGGAGGGCTATGGTCCAGAGGAGAGGTGTTGAGTTCCACGGCGAGACATCGTGGGCGTGTCTCTGGTGCGGGACTTCCACCGGGATAACCCTGGTAGACCTGGTAGACCGCCTGGAGGCGTCCCTTAAGGGGGGGGGGGGGGGGTACTGTGGTGGTTGTATTCTCCAGCCACCTCCATTGTGTGTGTTTTCCCTTCCCCTGTCTGTGTGGGCGTGGTGGCTGTCACTCCTGGCTCCCGGCTCAACCTCCACCTGCTGCAATCAGTTGGGCACCCTCCTCTGCTACACACCTGATTTCCATCAGCCATTTACTAATGGCATATCAACTTGTCAGCGTCAGATCGTTGTTTAAACCCCAGTGGTAAAACTCTCAGCCTTCTTAGCATTAGTTAGCTATTTCCTCTACACCTGAATGTTATTCTTACCTGTTCTTCTTGTGCTCCAGGATCACGCTCCAGCCGGATTACTCTCCACGCTCCTCCACCTCAACAGCCGCTATCAGCCGGATTATTCTCCACGCTCCTTCACCTCAAAATAAACCTTTTTAACACTCTGTCGTGTCCTGCGTTTGGGTCCTCTCAGATAACCGTAAGAAGAACTTTCTCCAACTGAACAAACAAAAAACTGAGATCATTGTTTTTGGAGCAAAGAAGGACCGATTAAAAGTAATCGCAGAGCTTCAGTCGGCAGACTACAAAGCCACTAATAAAGCCAGAAATCTAGGTGTAGTGATGGACTCAGACCTGAATTTCAACAGCCACATTACAACAGTCATTAGGTCTGCTTATTATCACCTGAAGAATATATCGAGGATTAAAAAACTAATGTCACAACAGGACTTAGAAAAGCTTGTCCATGCTTTTATTTTCAGTAGACTCGACTACTGCAATAGTGTATTCACAGGGCTGACAAAAAAATCCATCAGAAAACTGCAGCTGATTCAGAACGCTGCTGCACGTGTCCTCACTAACACTAAGAAAGTGGATCACATCACTCCGGTTCTGAGATCATTACACTGGCAAACGTCATGTCATAATCTTTTTGTTATCCTTATAAAAAGTGCTGGATATCACAACCCTTACTGTATCTTATCAGTTGGATTGTTTATTATTGTATAGTTGGGGTCCTTTTTATTTTACTGTTATTTTGGAATAGTTTTTCTTGAGGCTTAATTGTCACAGAAGCACACATAACGTCATATCTAATATTTAAACAAATCATTGCCTTGTCCCTAAAGCATTGACTGAGCTATTTTTCGTCCTTAAATGTAAGCATTAGGTTACATGTTCACGT